TACATTTCAGGGTATTAAAAATGAGTGTAAATTAGATAAGATAGGAATATAGCATTATTCAAAAATATTGAAACACAGAAAAGATTTTATGTTTTGTAATGACTCTGTATTTTTTTACTAAATATTTAACCCCGTTTTGTTACTTGTAATAGTAGCATTAATGTTTTATTAATTTTTTTATAAACGTATTGCAGTAATTTGCTATACACTATACAATTTTGTTTAAAAATACTAAATTAATTACCTGCGTAGAATAGCAACAATTTCCTCTTGGCATTCGGCAGAATGATTGTCTCGTACATGAAAGTGAAAATGTAGGCTATGTAGCTTACACGCGAGGCAAAGATATATCCATAGTTTATGCAAGTGCTTATGAGAATATGTGTTTCAATTTTTAGAAAAGTTTAAAGTATTAATCCTGTATTAGTCTTGAACAGGATTATCTCCCGTAAAAAATAATTGTAATTTATCCAAAGAAAAATAATATATATATATATATAGGAAAAAATATTTCTGCAGTTAATGCAGATAAATTATCTGCATTTATTCTTAAAACGACGTCGTTTTGATATTGAAATTTTAAAAAATTATAAATGTAAAGATTATTATAACCCTGAAATAAATTAAAATTACAAAAACACCATGATTTCCATCTCAAAACGACGTCGTATTGGACTTACTGCAGTAACTGCAGAAAAAGCGAACCCATATATATATATATATATATATATATATATATATATATATATATATATATTATTTCTCAAGCTGTTTGAGATAACTTTATCTCCGACCGCTAAATCATAACCGTGCAAATATGAATTAATGGTGATAAAAAAAAAAGAAAAAAAAAGAATCATAATCATTCAAAGGTGAATCAATTAATATAAGGAAGTAAATAAACAAAACAACGTAGTTTTAGACTGGTCGGAGATAAATATATTTCAAGCAGTTTGAGAAATATTTTTCTCGTATATATATATATCCGACCGTGGTTTGCATAAATTTCAACTGGGTGGTAATGGTTTTATTGACGAAGAATAAATTAAGCACATTGCTGTTTTTGTATTTTCATATGAAATTAATTATGAATTACTATGCGTATATATTATCAAAATAAATAATCCACCGACCTTTTTTTTTTCATTTCTCTGTTTTAAAAATGATATAAAAGCTCTGTTGGGGCTATACATTATGAGGGGAGCTACTTTTGTTAGTTTGTTTTAAAAATAAAATAAGAATGGGGAAATCTCTATTCTTTGCTTAATGCTTAGACCCTTAGTGGAGTGGACCACTAATCAGAGAAAGAAGCTAAAATCACTGTCCGGTTGACACTTTTTTTTATCAATTTCCTTGGTGCTCGATGTCCTATTGGAACAGATTCCCTATCGGTTTGCTCAACTTGTTGATATAATATCAAAGTCGCTATATTTTGGAGAAATATGTGATATATTACTCAACAAATATTAATTTATGATTATGTTGCATAAAAGGAAATTCAAAATCACTTGGTATTTATTTATTGACCATTAAGTCACTTAGTATAAGTTTCAATAATGATAATAAAAAACAAAGCTCACAAATAATAAGTTTTGAATGTGAATGAGCATGTAGCATAGTAGTACGTACTTTGCTTCAAAGCTGTGGACAAGTATGCTTGTATATATATATTTAAAAGTTGATAAATTTTTATTTCTGTTATTCTAATTTTGTTCTTTTTAGAGGAGAAAAAGGTTGCAAATTATTTGGCATATTTGGAAAAAGTATTATATACATACTTGTACTAGGGGAGAAAAACAGTTTTAAAGGTAACTATGAAACACTCGTGGTTGTGATCTCATAAACGAATTCAAAAGATAGTGAATAAGTTTGACGGTTTGAACGATGAATAACTTCTGAAAATGTCGGCCTTAAATAAATGTCAATATTAATTAAATAGCTTATACTTAGAGGTTATACATGCAACTTTTCTTTGCTCTAGGGGAGGGATAATGATGGAGGATCGTCCCTCTTAAAATGTTAACCTTTTTATTATTATATATATAAAATAATATTTTTAAATAATAATAAATTATTAGTGTTAATAATAAGTTCACTCAGAAAATATTTATAATAATTAATTTCTCTTATTAATCTTAATAACATTTATAACTTTAATATTTTATTTTGGCCCTTCATCGCAAAAAATTATAAGTCCGCCATTCGCTCCGTGGAATTTACCTGATTGCAATTTATAATCATGTGGTTTGAATTTGTTATTTTTTTAATTCACTTCAAGAGAAAATAACCTGTTAAAAGCACGTGTACTAAAAAAAACGAATAATATTGATGCTGTAGATACTCATAACGTTTATTTAGCATATAAGGAAAAAAAAAACTATATTGTTATTACGCAATAACGAAACAAGTTATATGATGATTAAAAAAAAAAGTTATATGAGACATAATGAAAAAATTCAAAATATTTTGTAACACACTGAGATTGACATTTTACTAAACGAGACATAACGAAACAAATTAAAATTTAGTATAATTTCTTTAAGTAATTGCGTAAAAAATAATATTAAATAAAACTTCACAAGTATTTAAAATATTGAAAAATAATTTTTTTATTTCAATAATCATGAGGATTATTGCGACAACTCAATAGTAGAACATATAATTATTCTTTTATTCAATATAAATCCTCCAAATTAATCAAATAAAAAATAATGAATTTATAAATAAAATATAAATGTTTCTAGAGTTTTAAAATATCTAATATTAATTTTTCATTTAATTTTTTCTATTTTAATTAATTATTATCGTGATAGTAAGATTTGTTAAGAAGAATAACAGTTACCTTTTAAGCAATTAGGTGGTTCTTAAGATGATATAATAATTTTATTTATTTTAATCTATTTATTCATGATCATATAACAAAAATGTAGGAATGATAGTGAAACATGACACTAAAAAGAAGAAGATGGAAAATATTATTTTAATAAAGAGATAAATAGAATATAACTCTTGATTCAAATTATTGGTGTAAAAGTAACGTAAAAAGTTTCAAATTTATATTTAATACATCAATTCATTATTTAATAGGTTTAATATCTTATGTAATTGTTCATAAAGTTAAATTTACTAAATGAAATATCAATATTTGATAGGATGATAATGTAAAAAAATTTACAAAGATAATATACTAATATTAATTTTCTTATTAAATTATAAATAATTCGTTTTAAAGATTTTTTTTGGAAACTATTCATTCATTATTGAAGATAGTTTACAATATATTATGCAATATAAAAAAGGGAAGGATCCACTTACCACCAAAAAAATTTATCACTCTTATAGCCAATTTAATCACTGTTAATTTCTGTTAATTTAAAGGTTATAATTTATTGAAAATTAATAACATTTATCGTGTCACACTTATTAATGAATTATTAATTTTTCAATAAATTATAATCGTTAGATTGACGAAAATCAATAGTGATTAAACTGATGGTAAGAGTGATAAACTTTTTTTGTAGTAAGTATATCTTATTCTTTACCTCTATAGAAAATGCTTATTTTTTAGTCAATTTATGATTTTAAAATCATTACTCATCTAGTTTTTTCTATGAATTCTTTAATATATATATATGTCAAACTTTTTAATGACACCTCATTTGAAAAGTGCCAATCTAATGATGATTATTTGTTGAGAATTAATAATTAATTAATATATATAATCCAATAAATTATAATCATTAGATTAAGAAAGAGCAACAATTCAGATGTGGTGTCAAATTAAAAAATTTCAACGGTGTCAAATGATTTTTTTTTTAGTTTTTTTTTTGTTTAATAATTTAGTCAGTATCAAAATAATTTAAGGGTAGAACACATCTACAAAGCACGGACACGAGAAAAAATTTGAAAGATGTGTGTCAGACACCGACACGTTCCGACACATGGTCAATATTTTGGAATACACGGTCAATGCTCTGACACTTTTTTTCGACATGCGGTCAATGCTTCGACACGCATCCAACACGTTTTTTTTAAAGGTCTAAATTTTGTTTTATTAACTAAACATGAAAAATAATTTATAAATCAATTTTTTTCTGTTACGGAATTTGACATAAAAAATTAACAAGGTTCGAAAAATTATTTTTGTTTATATTTACGTTATGGAATTTGAATATTTTATTGGTTATATGACTTATTATGGGCTGTTATATTTATTAAATATAAATTTTATTATATATATTAAAAATATTATTTAATATTAAAACATGTTCTAACGTGTCGAAATATGTCATTTGGGTAATACTTTTCTTATGTTGCATAAGAAAAGTACTATCTCCTACTCAAACAATAAATAAGAGAGAGAAAAGAATTGGAGGTGAGAGAGAAAAATTCTTGTGGGACCCATTTGAAAAATGTGAGTGTAGGAGATAATACTTTTTTATGTAACATAAGAAAAATATTACCCTTTTTAGAATTAACGTGTCGGCATGTCGTGTTCCGTGTCAGTGTCGATGTATCATAGGAACACAGAAATGGATATTTTCGAAAGCTAATTTTTTTTATAGCTAATTTTTTTTTTTTAATTTAAGCACATTTCTTATGTTTCAAATAATGAAAAAGGTTTGTTTATTCGTGTAATTCAATAAGACTATAGTTGAGTATGTTTGTTTTTTGATTCATATAAAACTTTGAAGTAAGAAGCACAACTATTGAATTGAAAATATACTTACATAAAAATTGGATTATATTAATGTATTTATTCTACAAAAAATATAGTTAAGTTAGATTAATGAATATCACCAATTTTATTCTGAAATATTTAATTAATTGGTGTAAAAACTTCGAGAACTAGTACCCAAAAAAAAAAAAAAAACCTTCGAGAACTGAGTTAGAATGGGTGAGCATTTTTTAGTTTTAACCCCTATTACTATTAGTTTGGCATATTTGCCAACGAACAAAGACTGACTCTCTCTATAAGTATCGTAGATACACTGATAACCTCACCTTCTCTTTCCACCTTCTTGTTTTTCTTTTTTCCCTTTCCCTCTTTTTGTACTTAACTCACTTCACCAATCATATGCACAATGTCGGTTTACACTGACCAGGATCCCCGTCTTCATGGCATCAAAACTAAGATTCGCGTCGTCCCCAATTTTCCTAAATCGGGTTTGTTTTATTTTTATCTTCTTTCTTTTTTTTTTGGTTTTTTTTTTTTTTATTCCCCTCTTCTGTATGTTTGAGTTTGTTTGGAACTTAGAACACCTGAAAGCATAAGAGCGTTCTACATGAACGCCTTTTTTTTTTTGTCTTCTGTTTTGAGTTTTGGAGTATGAAACCAGACCACATCTGTACCCATGAGGCTTTGAATTCATATTTTGCTTATGTTTCGTTGTCCAATTTCTAAGCTTTCTTGTCTTGGTGGCAAGGGGCTTGTCAGTTTTCTTCATGTTTTTTTTTTCTTCTCAGTTTGCTTGCTAATGGTTTGGTTGCAATGACAGGTATTATGTTCCAAGACATTACTACTCTGCTGCTCGATCCCAAAGCCTTTAAGGACACAATCGATTTGTTCGTTGAGCGATACAAGGGCAAAAATATTTCTGTTGTTGCAGGTAAATAAAAGGGGAAAAATGTTGGTCTTTTCGAACAAAAATGGATGAATGGCTTGATTTAAATCTCTTTTTTTATTATTTATTTTGGTTGTAATCACTGTGGTTAGCTTCAAGGTGGTGGGGTCCATGCTTACAAGAAAGTTGGCCGGACTATGCAGTAGTGCTCTATATTGCATAAGTTTCTGGTTGTCCTTTTGAATGCTTTTAAGGGACACTATGGAATGGAAGTCACTGTGTGGGTTTTGGGAGTGATTTTTTGTTTGACTATGAGCCATGGTTAGTGGGTTTTGCCATTGATTACTTTCTGAAGTTTTCTTCAGCGGCCCTCGATTCCTTTCTTTTCCTTCTCTCCTCGTGCACATGTGCTTGGATCCAATTTGCATGGAACACCATTGGTGATCGATTCCAACTTGTAGAAAGTGGACCCGCATGACGCATGTTTCAACTGGGTCCACATATATTTTTCTTTTCTATAGTTCCATTGTATTATAATTTGTGGGTTCCTCTATTTCACTGTTTGGTGACTTCGAGCTCTAGTACCTTATTTTTACTTTTGTGGCCATTCTCGTGTCTCTTTCCTTTTCCAAATTCCTAAATCCCTTATAAAGCTTGAACGTCACTAGTAGCATCAGATGACGGACTACCAGTAATTGCGTACTATACTACTATGCATCGTGCTTCGTTTTTCCACTTTGGTCCCTTGTATGCATGTGTGTTGTCTTCGTGTAGCTTTTTTCTGCTTTTAACTTTTCTCCCAGACATTGCTGGATATGCTGGAAACTTTAATGTGATATGTTGCGGAGGATAGGGCATGGAAGCCATGAAACTAGAGATATTATGCTTTAAGGTCATGTCTAATTTAGCATTTTAGATGTTGATGTAATGCATGCATTGTTTTTGTATTCCTGTCCAATGAACAAATATTAGAGGCCCCATTTTACACTGTTCGACTTCTGTACAATTTAAGGGTAACCTTTCATCTTAATTGCTGGTATGACCATCGTTCCCATTTTAGTTCTATTGTATGATTAGAAAATGAGCCAGAACGTAATTGGTTGGGTGTGACTTGTCTTTTTGCGTGCACATTACGATTTGTCTGTGTTTGGGTTTTTTTTGCCGTTAAATATATCTTTTGTGTGATATTCCCAGAAGCTTCTCTTCAATTGTAGAGTCCAGTGTGAGATGTGGGATTTGTTTTTTGTGTATAATGATTATCCTATATTATCAATTGGCTGATTGGCTATTAGGTCCTTTGGCATCATTACATTTTAAATACATTTTATTTTGGGTATTAACGTCTGTGTTTACATCTCCGTGAGCATAGGATATTTGTGTGTGTGTGTGTGTGGGGGTTTGAAGTCAGCTTGCATTCTTGTTACTAGACGTGGCATTAGTTACTTCTATCTTAGGCAACCTATGGCTTATTGATAACATGGTTGAGACTTTGACCACTGTGCCATGTTTTTTAAAAAAAATTGCCGGAATGCCATGCCAATGAAATTTTTTGCCAAAATGCCGCGGTGGCAAACCTGCGGTCAGTGGCAGCGGGTTTAATGTGCCATGTGGCACACTTCTTGAGGCCACCAACTCGCTATCAGTGGCAACGAGTTTGGTGGTCAAACCAGTCAGAACGCTCAGCTGTGTCAAGGATATGTGGCAACCAGTCTGGAACTCGCTGTCAGTGGCAATGAGTTTCTAGACTCACACGGTAATAATACGTGACACAAAATTTTGATAGTTTTACCATAAAACTTTGGAAGGCCGTAACTTTTAACTTTGGTGTCCGAATCAGGTATTTTTTTTAATTCCACATAACTTTTCTAGATCTATGCACTGACAAATTTTCGGAGAATTATTTGTTAGTGTTGGAAAGTGAAAACAAAAATAGAAATTAAATAACATCATTCATAAAGGTAAAATGTGCCAAACGTGGCACAAAGAAGTATTTTTTGGGAAAAAATTTTGACCACGGGATTGCCAATGCGAAGATCTCGAAAATTTATATGGAATAAAAAATACCTCATTCAGACACCCGAGCCAAACGTTATGACCTTCTGAAGTTTCGTAAAACTTTCAAAATTTTGTGTCATGTGCCATCACCGTGTGAGTCTAGACCCTTAAACTCGTTGCCACTGCAAGCGAGTTTCAAACTGCCTAGCAGCAGACTCATTTGACCACTAAACTCGTTGTTAGTGGCAGCAAGTTTCGTGGCCTCAGGTTTCATGCCACGTGGTATTTGAAATCCGCTGCCATTGACAACGGGTTTGCCATCGTAGCATTTTGGCAAAAAAATTTGTCGGCGTGTCATTCCAGCAATTTTTTTTAAAAAGCGTGGCACAGTGGTTTGGTCTCTTGGCTATTGCTAATTTTCAATATATGTCGGCTTCTTTCATTCTTCTCATTTTTTAATTGTATTTATTGTATCCTTAGTAGTATTGTATGTTTTACTTCAGATTTTTTGGTCAGTTTATTACTTCCGCGATGGTTACATTTGTCTATGTAACATTTGTTCCATTCATATTATTTGTTGACATATTATAAAAATGATAGCACTAATATTTGAAATTTCCTTATGCCACTTGGAAGCAATTACAAACAAAAATGGTAAATTTGTTTATTTCGTTTGTCCCCTTCCTTCATGTTTGGCAAGTAGTAGTAGCACTCTATCACTAGTACACAGTTTCTTGATGGTGTTGATCTAGATGTCATGGCAGTAGCTCATGTATTATTTTCCATGATCTTATGTTCTGATAAATGAATTCTTCTTCTCTTCTGCAGGAATTGAAGCTCGGGGTTTTATTTTTGGTCCTCCTATTGCACTGGCAATAGGTGCGAAGTTTGTCCCATTGAGGAAACCAAAGAAGTTGCCTGGTATATTTTGACCCTTGATTTTAATCTCTTTTTCTTTCTTTTCTTTCATTACTATGCTCATTTTAGCACTCTTATAGTGTTATGAATCATATGTTCTTGGGAGGAGGTTCTCTATTTTGTTTATGCATTTCTTGTTTTACCAATTAGTGCTTAAAATGTTCTATTGCATTGCTAATGCTCAGTTCTTATGAACATTCCTCAATTGATTCATCATCATTTCGTGGTTTTACCCATCTGTGTAGCCTATGCAACTGTGCAATAGATTTATGAGAGCGGTTATTGAGGTTGTTCCTTGTTTTGGTGTTTCAACCTTGCAAAGGTAGTAGGTATAAATCTAGAGCTATCCAGTTTCTGATATCTAAGTCTGTGATAGTTATATCCTGATATACAGAGAAACCATTGTGATATGTTCCCATTACAGAGTGCAGTCTACAAATTGGAGGGGGTGTTGCGTTGTTGGCTTTGCATCTCATGCCTATTATGTATTTTTATTTATAGAAAAATGAAATCATGAACTAAATGGGAACCTAATTTAAAGAGTGCTTCAATATATTAATTAGGGGAGAGTTATATTGATAAACTTTCTTTTTACAAACTTACAGATTACACTATGTCTTGCTGGTAAGACTTAATTCAAAAGTATCTTACCGGTAAGACATAGTGTAGTTTGTAAACAAAAAGTTTGTAAATATAATCTTTCCCTATTAATTATACCGAACTCTGGCTTTGTCAAGGTTTGAGATTGTTATTGTAATATGTTTTCTCTCATTTTCTGTTAAAAAAAGCTTACTTTGATGCCAGGCAAAGTTATTTCTCAAGAATATATTCTGGAATATGGAAGGGACTGTCTTGAGATGCATGTTGGAGCAGTTGAACCTGGTGAGCGTGCTTTAGTGGTTGATGATTTGATTGCAACCGGTGGAACTCTCTGTGCGGCTATGGACTTGCTAGGTACTTACCTATGTGCGAATTCTATCATAAATGGACAATTGTTATATCAGAATATGACATTGTTTTACATGACAATATTTCAGGAGCTTTGGTGTGTATTTATATGGTTAGATTTAAGTGCTCCTTACGTTCATGCTTTTACTCCAATTATTAGTGTAAAAGCAGGTTGAAATCTGGTTTCTCATTTCCTTATCTCTGTTCCAGTAACTTTCTAATTCATTTGACTAACCTTATAAAAACATCTTTCATGGATAAATAAATAACTCATGAATGCTGGGTAGGGTACTTATTACACCGCAATAAGCTGTTTCTTCAGATTAAGTTCACAAATACATTCTTAGCTTCCTTTCTGCTAACATGCCTCACTTTCTGATATCTTTATTTCCCCCTTCCCCCTCATGTTTTTGTTGTCATTTAGAACGTGTGGGAGCAGAAGTAGTGGAATGTGCATGTGTAATTGAATTACCAGAATTGAAGGTATATAGTTTGGATTATCTCAACATTTCTGTTTTTCTTCCTTGTTATATTGTTGTTAGGTGTTACCTAATTTTCTTTCACATTCAAAGAGGTTCTTTATATTAAACCAAGGTAATTTTACTGGCACGATGTGTAGTCATTTTTGTTAATGATTTTTGTGAACACGTGACAGGGTCGTGAACGTTTGAATGGGAAGCCCTTGTATGTGCTTGTGGAATATTTGGAGGTATGAGCTGCGCATTAATATGGTTCGGCCCAGACAATGGAGTTGTAGATTTGGGAGATGTGTTATTCAGTGGGTACTTTCCCATTTGAATTCCTAAGCTAGCTTGTAGTAGGAACAGTCACAAATCAAATTAATGAATTTGTATGACCCACCCTTTGGGACACTCGTCTTATCTCTGCTTCCCCTATCCTTTTCAAATAAAATTATAACTTTTGCTGCAGGACCTGGGTTTGTTTGTGTGTTTTTTAAGTTAAAAATTGGTGAATTTTTTTTTTTATAATAATTAAACAAGTTTATTTAAAAAAATTATAAATGGAAGCTTTTAAAAAAAAATCATAAAAGTATTATTTTTGAATTTAATCTAAACGCACTTGTAATTGTAGATTTTATATATGACAAACAAAATGGAGTCTAGACTCCAGAGGGCCTTATAAATTTTCAGTACCCATTCCTTACTTTCTGGGGGTTTAGAGCTGTACTTATAAAATATTAGATAGCTCGCATGTGTCAATAATCGTATTAGTATATATACTTATTTAATTAAAAAAAAAGATTTTGTTACTCTAATATCGGAAAAGTGATAATTTTCATGCAACTAGTTGTTCCAATGTGAAGGGTTTTTATATTATATTTTAGGTTGTTTATTTTTTGAGTTTGAAGAGTGAATAATATGAAAGTTAATTTATCCTGTATTAAATTTTTTTATAATTTTATTAGAAGAATAAAAACAATAATAATCGAATAGTAAATCATTTAACTCTTATAAAATTTTAAATTATTGGGTGAAGACGCGTTATTTATGTTTATATTATATTTTGAATAATTATTTATTTCGTTCACTTTCTTGTGAGAATATAATAATAATAATTATTCATCTGACGGAAAAAGAGGTTCCTCTAAATAATAAGGGTAAGGCCTCAAAGGTTTTTATTGATGAATTTCGTTTTATTTCTAATTATGTATGTTGGTCATGTATATTTTATTTTCTTTCAATGCTCATAACATTAAAAGCCAACATGAAAGTTTTTTTTTTTTAATCCATCGGCATACCAGTTGTAAAGAGCCTTGAGGTCACCACCCCAAAAACTAGCTCAAAGGGTGAGAGTGTCCAAGGTCTTATAAAGATCACATTAGTTGCACATACAACCATTGTGGAACTATATATCTCAACACGCCCCCTCACACGAGAGTCCATTGGGCTTGAAGAGTGGACAATGCAACAGGCCCAGCCTACCTGTGCTAAGAAACGCCACAAGAGAAAGTGGAGGGCGGCGAGGCTCTGATACCATGTAAAGAACCTTGGGATACACCACCCTCAAAAGCTAGCTCTAGTTGCCCATCCAATTAATGTGGGACTATATATCTCAACACGCCCCCTCACGCAAGAACCCTTTAAGCCGTGTAAAGAACATTGGGATACATCACCCCAAAAGCTAGCTCAAAGAATAGGAGTGCTCAAGGTCTTATAAAGGTCATATTAGTTGTCCATCCAATCAATGTGGGACTATATATCTCAACACGCCCCCTCACATGAGAGCTCACTGGACTTGAAGCGGAATTTCCACCGCCTGCCACTTTCTTTGTAGTGGAATTTCCACATGTAGGTGGACTTGTATGTTGTCCACCCTTCAAGCCCAGTGAGCTCTCGTGTGAGGGGGCGTGTTGAGATATATAGTCCTACATTGATTGGATGGACAACTAATATGACATTTATAAGACCTTGGGCACTCCCACCCCTTGAGCTAGCTTTTGGGGTACCTTGAGCTAGCTTTTGGGGTAGTGTATCCCAAGGTTCTTTATATGGTATCAGAGTTTGAGTGACTATAAGGTCACAAGTTTGATCTTCACCGTCCCCTGCTTTAAAGTGTGGAATTAAAATAAAAAAAAAACACAATAAGGTAAACCAAAAATGGACCTGCAATTTCCATGCTTCTAGAAACTCAAAAAATCTTTGTAAAACGGAGAGGAATGTTGAGTTAAGCTTCAAGAGCCTTCTTAAAACTCCTCCCCCTTCTCACACACCAAGATGTGAAAATACTAGTATTGATAAATAATCTTGTCATAAATAATCACAAAATTAGATGAGATGGATGTTTCAATCTCAATCATAACAGGAAAAGTCCCTGTTTGATTAAAGCACTTGATTTTTTGAGAGAGAAATTTCCCGATCCATTGATCAATGTTGTGAAGAGCATTCCATACAGCTTTAAGAATTCGAAAACAGTTTGGGCCCTCGTTTTGAGGTATGGGCTAACTGGTTAGAGCTTAGGCTCATAGACAATAGAGGACACCACACCTCGTGAGAATGAGAGGAAGGCCCTAGTTCGAAAAGGAAAAATCATTATGACGCAAAGAAATCAAAAAGGGAAAGCTTCTCTTCAAAAACGAAAGATCATAAAGGGAAGCCCATTTAATAAAGAAGCTGAAATTGGAAAGGTAAATAGAGAAAGCAGAAGGAAAGAAACGTAGCAAACTAGCAACTGGGATTGTGAAATGTGAATTTCCGTCAAAGATAGTGACTCTTGTGGTTAGTTAATTTCGTCATTTAAGTTTTCTCATGTCATTTCATCATCAGACAAGTTAAGTTTAGAGCTTTGTTTGGTCCACATTTGCGTAACTTGCGCTATACTTCCCTATTACCATTGTGAGTGGGACCCGTTCTCCTTGCACACCATCCCTCTGTTCTCGTCTCGTGCTTCCACCTTGATTTCTATCCTTGCTCTTTTATTCTATTTTTCTTCCTAGTCCAACTTGTAATTAATTTATGAAAAATATAATCATCATGTTACATGATACAAGTTATATCATGTTGCAGAGACAAAGTTAGTGGGGTCCACTGTTTAATTTATTTTTTATTTAAACAGTGGACTCCACCAATTTTATCTCTACAACATGATATAAATCATTTAATTTATTGTTCTTTTCTAACAGAACCTAAAGACAACCCCTTCCTTGTTTTATTTCTTTTTGCATGAAATACAGAGTACAATAATTTCTTCAATTCAACAGAAGGAAACAAGCATGTTCATGTTGACATTTTTTCGTCCATTTATATTTTGCTCTTTTTCCATCTTGTGCCTCGCGAGAGACATAACGAGACATTCGCTTTGTTGTGTAAAGGGGTAGACCATGATTCGCGGATGTGAATTGTCAGATTGTGGATTTTCAACTGCAACAAAATACATTGAGATGGCTAAGCATTGCCCTGATGCTATTAACCCATAAATCAATGTACTCTCACAATCAAAAGTCGCTATTAAGATTTCGGTGATATTGGATGAAATTTAATTGACTAACAAGTCATTTCACTCATTTGATTCACTGGTAAGAATTTCTCCAAATAAAATGATTACAAAAATCGAATTATGCATAATAGATAAAACATCATGCTATATCAATATTTGGGAAAATAGAAAAAGCACAATTTTCATCAGTTTTAAAACTCGGACCGATCATCCACTCGGTCGAGATACTGGGTCATTGATTCAACCAGCTATATTATTCGCATATTAAAAAAATATAAACATATTACTTATATTAAAAATTCATAGAATAAAACTATCAATAATAGAAACTGTGAACTAATTTCATAATAATTAAAATAGAGTGGCGCTAATATTTATAAACTGTGAACTAAAAATGTAACAAAAAAAATACATAAGTTGATTGTGGCCCATCCAATCTAGGTTTCGTATAACTTGTTGGGTTATCGAGATCCAACCAAGTCAACCAGTCCAAACTGAATTGATAGCATAATCGATTCAAATGATGCTCAAATCAGAAAATTTACCGGGTCAATAAGACCCGAGTTAACCCACCCAGTCAAAACCAATTTTTAAAACAGTCTTACTGGTCGTTTGGATAGCCTTTTGTTTTGGTAAAAGCTGCTTTTTTTTTAAAAAAAAGTGCTTTTGATTTTTTTTTTTTCATGTTTGGATCGAAGCTTTCATAAAAGCAGAAGTTAATAAAAAAGTTAAAATCTTAGTTTTTTGAGAAGTTAAAAATATGAGCTTCTGAAAGAAGGAGAAGCCAAAAACTCTCCTAACCAATTTTACCCGTGGATCCTTTCGACACTTCTTGATTTCCATTCTGTTCAGAACATTTTTCATCTTAGGGTTTCCACCCTCTACCACAATCACATGAATAATCAAAGAAAGAGGTCGTCTTGTTTAATGGTCGTCGCCGGCGACGAAATCAGCAATTGGGACTCCTTGTCGTGCCAACATGTTCGAGAAGCTTTGCTAAGGTGCTTTGATTCTTCCTTAATCCGTTTCTGAAATTGTTGCATCGTTCTCTTTATTTTATTTTTTTCGTTTTATTAAAATTTTAAAAATAAAAATTGGATCTTTCTGAATGTTGTTGATTTTTTGGGTACATGAATCAATCTTGTTTTTGTTGTTCAGATTGGGGAGGGACGTATAGCGATGTGTATAAGGCTAGAGACCTTCTTGCTGAAAAGATTATGACTTTGAAGAAAATTAGATTTGATAATTTGGAGCCAGAAAATCTGAAGTTCATGACAAGAGAGGAGAAATTTTTTTTAGAGACCTTTTTGCTGAATTTTTTTTTATCAAGGAATCTCAATTTTTATAAATATAATTTTTACATTCAGTTTACGATAATATCTGAAAATCAAAAATTTTAAAAAATTCAGTTTCTCGAAAATCCTCAAGAATCCTGCATACCAAACGGACCATAAAGGACACGATGAAAAAGGTAACTGAGGCACAAAGAGAAAATGGGCATAATAGTCATTTTATATTTCAGAACTGCTTTTTATTTTAACATCCAAATAACAATTTTATTCAAAAGCATTTTTCAAATATTGCATTCAAACATAAAATAATTTTAACTTTTAAAAAAAGTTTTTTAAAAAAAAAATTAACTCATAAAAATTTCTTTTTACAAAAGTTCATTCCGGATCCTTAATCTAGCAAATTAAAAGCAAACAAATTGGACGGCTGTTCTTTGAATGAGCATTATTACAACGAGGAATTTTACTGAATTTTTATCAACCCAACAATTTTTTCATAACTGCCCAAAATGTAATTAAGTACTCTCTCTTCTCCATTTCAAGTTTGGTTTTGGTGAAAAATATTTAATCACTGTAAGTAACATTTTCACAAACCAAAAAAAAAAAAAAAACTTAAAATGACTCTCGTAATTTTCAGCTCTGCTCTTATACTTTAATAGATATGAGACTCTCGTAATTTAAGTTTGATTTTATGTTTCAGAATTGTGCCTTCGATCAAAATGACGTTTAAAATGGACGGATGAAGTATTTAACCAAATCAGAATAAGATGAAGAAATATTGAGCAGATAAATGCAAGGAAAGAAGTAGGTTAGGTTCAATACCTCGAGTCCTCAACAATCAACATACATACATCCAAAATGAAAATAAATCAGAAAAAAAAAGTGTTTTAAAAATAAAAGATAAAGGAGGAAGAACGGTAAATACGTTTTTTACAATTTATAAATGATAAGAAAACAGGGCAATACAGCACGCGAGTCAAACACTAGTAACTCGCCGTTGTCCCCACTCACCGAGTCAAACCCAACTCGCCCATCCAACAACGAGTCCATAAACCCTAGTTGCTTGGAGACCCGACCCGCTATGACCCGGCACACCAGCATGGCCTTCCTGCCCCTACCGCCGCCTGAGCTGTCATGTGCCCCACCGCTGCCTGAGAATGTACAGATCGCCGATCCTTTGCCGCCGGGGAATGACCATGCACAGGCTCCGCCGTAGGGACCACCGCCGGAGGTGGGACCCAAGCAGTGAAACCTCATCACCTCATTCCCATCAGCAACGCATCGCGCATTTTCCTCCCAGTTACTACCCTTGACCGGGCTACCCGAACCGGAACGACCCTTAACCGCCTCGCGATACTCTTCGAACCGGGACACGGTCCGTGGGCCATTGTGGACCTTGAAGATCATATCAACCCGACCCGAAAAGGGTTTGGGGCCCCAGCTAGTGTGGAAGATAATCTCCACAACGTTGCGCGAAGGATGCCCCTCAGTGAGTTCCATGAGTGAAGGGAAACGAGGGTCCGGCGTAGTGGTGTGGCGGGTGGTGGTGGTGGTGGTGGCGGTGGTGCTTCGAGAGCGGTTGATGGTGGTTTCGAAATCGGGTTTGGTGGTGGTTGATGGGTATCTAGAGCTGGGGTGTTTTTGGAGTGGTTTTTTAGGCTTTGGCTTTGTTGTTTCGACGACGTCTTTGATGTTTTGAACGCTCTTTCTGCAACTTGCACTGGGTATGAGGAATTTAGGGTTTGGGTGATAAACGTCTTCATATGCTCTGGACTTGCATTGCAATGACTTCACCCATCCACTCGCCATTACATAAACCAACAACTAGATTGTAATATCCTCTCTCTCTCTCTCTCTCTCTCTTAAAGACTTGAAGTTTTTGGGAGCTCTAGGTTTTGTTTGTGACAGATGGGATTGGGGGTCTCATGTTGTTGTGTGGTTGTGGCCGCTGAAAAACAAACAAAGAAAATTATGAGTGAGAGTGGAAGTGGAACAAACATGGCGCCACAATAAATGGATTTTACTACCGTATGCATTCTGAATTTACTCTTCTGCCCTTCTGAAGATTTCGGAATTACCCACGTGGATTCTCTCTCCTTCTTTCCTTCTTCCCGTAAAACAACAAATTCTATTAATTCCCAAAACCAAATCTCATTTGGTGATGCATGCTAAATTGAGTCCTGAGTCCTGACCAATTGGATGCACGCAAAATGTAGGTTGTATAATTGTGTTTTAATTTTTTTTTTTTTTAAATTGTTTTGTAAAATGAGCTAGGTTGTACTTATAACTTTTTTTACAACTTTTTGCAACCATATCTTAACATCGTTGATTTCCATCAATCAACAGTTATGATTTTTGTAAATTAAACTCATTAATTAATTATTAATTCACAATAATGATAATCGTTGATTGACGGAAATTAACGGTGTGAAGATATGATGGTAAGAGGTTGTAAAAAAAAGTTGTAAGTATAACTTTTTCCCTTGTAAAATAGTTATTTTTTTGTGTTTTTTTTATTTTGAAAGTTAAAATTCAAAATACCAAATAAAAACAACTCAAACATATTCTTTAAATATAATTCTAAAAATAAAAAAGTAATTACAGTTTTTAACCGTGTTTTAAAACTCGGATCGGTCATCGAACCGGTCGAGATACTGGGTCACTGGTTCAACCGGGTTGAACCGGATTAACTGTTCACATATTTAAAATATAAAAATATTACTTATATTAATAAAAATTCACATAAGAAAACTGTCAATAAGCTTCAAAAAATAAATTAATTTTCAATGATAGCAAATATTATATACTTCTAAGCTTCTAGCTCTAGAACATATTCTAATATAGAATTAAAATTGCAATATAAATTAAATGCATCTTTTGTGCTTGACATGATACGGATAAATTAAATCATGATAACAAATAGTATGCATGAAATATACACTAAAAAAAGTGTCCACCGTTGAGATGAGATCATGAGACCATCAGTGTTTATCATCACTCAACTTCATGAGATCATTATAAGATACAACTAAATTACATAAACGAGTTGCACTAATCTAAAATACCTTATTATTTTCACCTTACTTTTAATCATATTCATCATAAAATATGAATGATTTAATTCAAGAGTTCTTATCAACAACAAAAAAACTTACCAAAAAAAAGGAATAATAACCGGTCTAACCCGGGTCAACCGGGTCGCGTTTAGTACGCGTCATTTTTCAAGATTTTCGGAAAACTGAATTTTTTTAAATTTTAAATTTTTGAATATTATCATAAACTGAATATAAAAATCATATTTTTAAAAATTGAAATTTCCGAACAAAAAGAAAATTTCATCTGCCAAACACCCCTTAAAGAGTGGGAGAGTGACCATTTTGCCACATTTGGACAAAAAAATTACCAGATTGCCACGCAAACAGTAAATTTTGCCAAAATGCCACGCGGCATAATTCACTACACAGTGTAGCGAATTATGTATGCAAGTAATTCGCTACACAGTGTAGCGAAATATGTCACGTCAAAACGCACAGAACCAAAAATACCACGTGTCAAATTTTACAAAATTCGCTACATAGGGTAGCGAATTTTGCAAAATTTGACACGTGGCATATTTCGCTATACTGTGTAACGAATTATGTCGCGTGGTATTTTGATAAAATTTACTGTTGACGTGGCAGTCTGATAAATTTTTTGTCCAAACGTGACACTTTGATCAGTATTCCTTAAAGAGTAGTAGTAACAAGTAAAAGGTGCCGTATTTTGATTGCTTAATTTATGCTGCTCACTACTCAATATTATGATTTGGCATGTGGTAGAAAAAGTTCGACATATCTAACAAGTAAGTTCGACATATCTAACAAGTGCTTTGATTAGGAGTTGGAATCATGTACATAATTGCATTTCAGTAATTTTAATAGAATATGTCTCTATTTATTTCATGAGTCAGCATCAAGACTGAGGAAACTATTATGATTTATGGGAGACGAAGACTTCGAAAATCTAAACCATTTGGCTTTTGTGGGTGTCAGTTTGAAAACTCAAATAAATAGTAACAGGCTATTAAATTTGGGTTTGATATTTGTAATTTTAATGTCATAAGTTATAAGTTATATTATTTTAGAAATAAGTTATGTTATTTTAGAAGAAAGATTGTAAAGAATTTTGGGATACACCACCCCAAAAGTTAGCTCATGGAAGTGTCCGAGACCTTATAAACTCCACCTTAGTTGCTCATACAACCAATGTGGGACTATATATCTCAACACGTCCTCTCACACAAGAGTCCTTTGGGCTTGAAGCGTAAATTATGCTCAGGTCCAATTACATATCTCAATACGCCCCCTCACACAAGAGCCCTTTGGGCTTGAAGCGTGAATTATGCTCAGGTCCAATTTTTTGTTTACCTTTTGTGCTTTTTATTTTAATTCTATTTTAAAGTGGGAGGCGGTGAGAATCGAACTTGTAACTTTGTAATCACTCAAGTTCTGATACCATGTAAAGAACCTTGAGATACACCACTCCAAAAGCTAACTCAAATGATGGGAGTGTCCAAGGCTTTATAAACTCCACATTAGTTGCTCATACAACCAATGTGGGTCTATATATCTCAACAGAGATAGACACAAGAAATAAAAGTTATGGAGGAGAAAGTGAGTATTTTTATTTAATTTAAATTTTAAATAAAAAATATTATTTTGTGTCTATCTCTCTCTTAAAATCACATAATTTTATGTCATTTAAAATGACAAATATTTTTCCATTAAATTTATGAGATTAATATTTTTTATATTGTAGAAAATAATTTTATTATTTATGTATACGTAAAGATATGTGGATACATATAAATAGAAAAAATAAAAATAATTTTCATATATTTTTTTAAGAGTATAAAAAATAAAATTATCTTCTACAGTATAAGAAATATTAATCTCTAAATTTATTTGATTTATCCTTTTACTTTTTTTTTTTTTTTCATTTTAATGACCCAACACATTTTCAGTTGGTGAGTGGCTAATCAAGTCATGTCATATTCTAATAAAAGCTTTTGCCTTGCCATCTAACTGTGAATGCTTGGTGGCATTGTTGCTGCTTGAAATCAAAGCGACCATTACTCAGCTGCTGTGTTGGGTCGTCAGCTTGAAGTTTCAATATAACAGCCCTTCAAGTTAATTACGTATACGTATGTCTTAGACTCTTTGTGGAATTAATGAACTTGAGGGCTGTTTGGTACAATGTATAAAGTTTATATTATATATTAAGACATTTTTAGTTATTTGATGTGAGAATCATATAGTATAAGTTTATCCAACATAGTTTCTTAATACATTAAAATGATATATAATTTAATCAGGCCTAAAAGAATATGTGTTAGACCTGATAATAGATTGATGTATTAGATTAATCCCTTCCCATTTTTTTCTTTTCCATTATAACCTTTTCATTCTTTCTCAAGAATTAATATATCATTTTTGATATATTAATATATTAAAATAAAAATTATATTTTTGATATATTGGAAATTCTTATTTCTACAAAAGTAATATATTTTTTGGACATACTAATCAATAGATTTTTATAAAAAATTTAATATATTTGAAAAAATTATATAAATTCTTTTTTTTTTTTAATTATATAAGTTCTTTATTAAAGGATACTTTGGTCAAAAATATTTATTATTGTCGTATATAGTATTATACAGTACATTATCAAACACCAGACGATATTATCTTATATAATATATTATCTAATACAATACCATGTCAAATGATGAATAATATTAAAATTTAATTAGGTCATATACAATAAGATCTTATCCTATCCTAATTTATATTATTATGCTTTATCTTATACCATACATGTCCTGAATTGTCAATTTTCACAACCGGGGTAGTTTCGTCCATGCAATCGAGTTTTTCCTTCTATTTTTTTAATTATTTCTTTTACTATACATACCAAACAAAAGGGTAGAAGGTAGTAGCGTTAGGATGGATGGAAATTAAAAAAGAATTTGTCATGGGAGTTTGGAGTGGAGAATAGAAGAATGGAAACTGGCACAGGGTATAGTGACGGAGAAAGCATCTAAAAAAGCACTGAAATTTAAACTAGTAAAACGACAGGTTTTCTTCCACTTTTCTTTTGAATCTAATTTAATAATCGGGAATGGAATGCCTCCTGCTTATTGTTTATGGATTCCCAGCAGGAGCTACTCTCTAGGTACTAAGTCGCTGTTCTTTAACTTATTGGGACAATGGCCTCCAGTGTCATTAGAAGCAGACAATAATCTTGAGATAATCAACGGTTATCTACAATTTCTTGACTTCATAAATCATACCCCCATTGCAAACCACCGAATGGTCCAAAACTTGAGGACTTGTGCCTCAATATGAATAACCCATTAAGGACAAATTATGTTGCAGTCAAAAGTTACAAAATGAATAACATCAACCTGTGTGGTGTGCTGTGCGTGCTAGAAGATTCTCTTGCCTTATTATATAAATAAAAAGAAGTGCATAGACAAAAAAAAGATATTGATAAATTTTATTATAATTACTTTTTCAATTTTTTTCTCTCATAACATGATTTAATTATGTTACTTATTAATGTAAAGGGATTCAGTTAAACAAATATATGGTGTGGTGGGTGAGAAATGGGAATGGGAAAAGAGGAGGGGAAGTTGGGAGTGCGGGTGGAAATGTTGCCAGCCTTTGTTGTCACGCCTGCAGAACCCATTCGTTCTTAGCCCCGGGAAATGCGTAACTGTAGGCGTGCTTTCAATTCGATATTCAACAACCACCTCCAAAATACGTGTACGCTTTCAACTTGTTTTTGTTAATAAAGGAAAAATAAATAAATAAACCGTTTTTGGTAATTTGGGTCTCGTTTTTGGTAAGGTATTTTTCTTTTTCTGTTAAAATGATTATATTCCTTAGGAACATTTAAGTTTCTGAAAGCAATTGAGCAA